CAATTAAATAATTAAATAAATTAAATGTGAAAAGCCTATTTCACATTAATTTTGCTTAATCATTGACTCCAAAGAATCAATAGATTTGATATTCCATTGTTTCTGGAAGATGAGAGCCCAAAATTGGATTAACACTTCAATATGTATATATATATATATATCCCTTTCTTTTTATGTGTTTGAACTGTTTCAATTTGTTTGCCTGTCACATGACAGACCGACCTTCGCACGTGTGTCCTTGTCACTCCAGCTTTCATCTTGCTTACTTGCTGCGAGCAGCACCAGCCACTTGGTGAAAACCCTGTAGCCGAACTGTGTCCGGTTCTTCTAATGCCTTTCAGGTTTGTTCATGTCGTGGTAACGGGGCGTGTGCCTGTAGGAGCGTGATGACATCTGCGCTGGCTTCCCTCCCTCCACTCCACATTTCCTGTATGCAATCTGCAGGTGCAGAGCACAGAAGCCACTGCGCTGTTGCTATTGCGGTGGGTGCATGCTGTTTACAGCTGAGTTTTGACATTGCCGCTCATGCAGTTCTGTGCGTGGGGAGGGCATGGTAGCGGAGAGAGTGGTAGCGGAGATGGTTGTAGCGGAGCGTCCATATGCATCTTTGTGGCACAGCTGCCTGTGCCTTAGAACGGATATTGTCAAAGGTGCCTGTCCTGACCTGCTGGTTGCCTTCTGGATGCCTGTCACATGACAGACCGACCTTCGCAAATGTGTCCTTGTCACTCCAGCTTTCATCTTGCTTACTTGCTGCGAGCAGCACCAGCCACTTGGTGAAAACCCTGTAACCGGACTGTGTTGGTGATGCCCCGTCCCTCCTGCATGTCGGGTGCGCGGGGATTGGCTTGTGCCATGGCAACGGGGCGTGTGTCGGAGCCTGGTGAAATCTGCACATCCACTATACACACTTTGCGAATGCTTTCTGGCAGGTGCAGCGCACGGTGCCCCGTGCAGTTCTGTGTATGTGTGTGTGTGTGCGCGGAGAGCGTGGTAGCGGAGAAAGCCTGGTATCGGAGCATCGATACATTACCGTGGTTAGCGGCTAGCGCATGTGACATCTTCACCGCGAGCTTGTGTGCAGGATACTGTGGCGTATACGCGCAACTAACTGACATGTCGATGTGCTGTTAACTCGGCAGGTTGATTTGCCAAAGGGTATTATAATATATTGCTAGAGACCACACAGGGAAGAATGGCTTGCAGGAAATAAAGAAGCGTGGTGAATGAGATGGAATCCAAGAAAGTGCTGATACCGTCACACCCACGGGGCAAAACTGACACTGTTTTTGTTCCACGCTTGTCTACAAAGGCTGCCTTGGATGCTTTGGTTCACCACATGGATCGAGACAATTGCCCTAGACTGCCCGAACGGTTTTCAATCAAGAAATTTGAGACGTATGTGTACGGGCATCCCAGCAGGGCCACCAATGCAAGAATGTTGGCTGATGTGTACAGCAGCTTGTCCCGGTCTTCGCAATGTGCCAGGGCAGGTCGAATGACTCTAGCAGCAAAAGTCAAGAAGGAGCAAAGTGCCGAAAAAGCAGACAAAATTTTGAGTCATGAGCGTTTGTGTGAATCTCTCCTGAAGAGCTTCAGTGATCCCGAACCAGTGATGTCGCAGGGCTCACCTGCGCGCAAGAGACACAGGGCAAAGGGCCCATCCGTCGACTCGCGCCCTACTTCTAGTAGCCAGGCGGTCACGCAAGCAAGAGCCAAAAGTCAAACAAGAAGTTCATGAGGCTGGGGACTTGGGCAATGGCGGTGTGATTTTGAAGGAGTTCCAGTACGTATATCCGAGCACAACCGTTCTCAGGACACGCAAGATTGTGGAAGGGTTAGGGGCCCAAAAGTTTACAAGAAGAGCTCAGATGGTTTTGCTCGCAGAGACACATGACTTGGACATTTGCAATTCTGTCTTCACATTGTTGAGCCAGCTGGTCAAGCGATTGGAGGTGACACCAGCTTTGCCGAAGGCGCTTGGTTCAGTATTGACCAGACTTGCAGAGAGCCGCGATGAAATTTGCAGCACTGAATTGAACATCAGCAAGGCGGAAGGGAAGCAACTATTGGTGTCCATCTTGTATGGAGGAGCTGTTCCGCAGAAATTCCAAAGCAACCCGCTTTTGACAGACCTCAGCAAAGTTTCTCTATATCTGCGATGGCTTGCCATTTCACTGTTAGATGAGGAATTTGCTCGATTTCGATCTCCTGCTGTGAGCAAAAAGAATCCTGACATGTCGATTCTGTCCCACTTGTACTTAAGCATTGAAGACTTGGTCTTGACTTCGTGGTGTCGGTACCTCCAGGCTCTGCATCCTGCCCACTTGTCATTGCACTTTGATGGTGTACGCGTTTCGCCGATCGAAAGTATGTCTGTGGAAGAATTGTGCAAAGAAAGCGCAGCGCACATCGCCAAAGAGACGGGATTTGTTGTGGTGATCCGAGAGAAGCGGCACAGAACAGTGCTGCAAAATATCCAACATGTTGCAACACGGGAACCCAAATTGTCAACAGGTGAATCTTGTCTCGAACGCTCTGGCAATTGCATACCGGCAGCGGTTGCTTCACTCGTTGGTTTTGAGCCAATTCAGGAGATGTTAGCAAAAGCAGAAGCAGCTGAGCAAGCAGAAGGGTTGCCCCCAACCCGTTCGTACAAGGAGTGCGGGCTGCTATGCAATGTGACATTGGTTCCCTGCCTCCAATTTTCAAGCCTTCTAACTGGTCACTATTTGCTTCATTCCGAAGCAGGCGGGCAGCCGCATTGTGTCGGGCTTGACTTGCAGGTAGGCCCTGATGGCTTAAGCACTGTCCACGATGTTGATTGCTCTTACAGGATGAAAACGGTTGATTTGATAGAAGCAATCGAATCAGGCGTTGACACCTCAACGTGCGTATTCTTCCAAGTGTGCCAAGGAGAAGCACCAGTTCCCATTGACCACGGCCTCAAGGATGCCGACAAAGCTGCTTTGCTCAATTTAGAGGCATCTGGCGCAAAGAGACCAGCAAGCTCTATTGAGAGGCCAGCGGTTGCACGCAAAGATTGGGAACCCCGCAGTGCAAACCGACCGGCGCTGCATCTTGCCGCCGTTGGTCCTTCAATTGAGATTCATGGCTCGCAGTCAGAGCCCGAAATCTTTGATGTTCTTTCGGACAGTGGGCCGGACGTGGATGCTTTGACTGCAGCAGACACGGACTTTGAAACGATACCCCTCAGCTGGGTTGATGATGACGGCTTGGTCATCACAGATCGAACATTGCTACAAGATTTAGCAAAGGAAGTATCTTCTGCCGTCACTGGGCGGCGATTCGCAAAAAACCAGAAAGGGTTTGCATGTCCATGCTGCCCTTGGCGATGCTTCCGTACTGTTGGGCGCGTGGCGGAGCATTTGTCAAAATATCACGTGGAGAAGAATCAGTATTGCTGCTCGGGTACAAAGCAAGTCAAGTGCATTCTATCGCTTCATGACTCCGACATGATTTCTGGGATTCGTCGTGGCAACTATCTGCATCGAAGCTCCACTTTGTTGCGAGACCAAGTTCAGCCACCTCTGCCTTCATCTTCGAACGCCATCGACAAGAACATCCGGCTTGTGCTTGATTGTGGAGGTACGGTGCTTGTGGTAGGTTATACTTAACAGGTCGTTTTGCAGGGTCCATGTTCAAACACATGGAATATGCCAGTGGACGGTGAAAATTGTGAAAAATAACCCTTTGTTCCAGAGTGCTTTGAGTCAAGGAGCAGTCCTCTCGCTTGCAGGTCCTCGCTTCGTCAATGGGAACACGGTTGGCAACGACCTGTTCGTTCGGCGGGTTGGCAACATCTACTACACCAAGGAATTTGCAGAGCAAATCTTCCAAGAGATAATTTTGCATCATGCCAAGGCCTGATCCACTTGAGTTCCCATGTTGCTAATGAATGCTGATTGCGGATCTTCCTTGCTCTTGCTTTTTTGAATGATGCAAGCCTTTCTTTTGCTGCCAGGTAAAAAGCGTTTGGCCAAGATTTATGCTGGATGCAGTTCGGGCCGGCTCTGCCTTGGTCAACTTGTTACCTTCCCGCACTTCTCGCTGGTGGCCACTAATTGAGGATGTGTTCATGTCAGACAAAGCCATTGAACTCCGCAACACCATCCTAGCAGAGTGCGTGGCGCACGGGGAGTTCACTGCGATCTCTATTGATGGCACTTTCCGTGTATGTCTAAGCATCATGGGGCAGCTACCTTTCAACATGAGCAAAGAATTGCGCCAAAAAGCTGCTTTCAAGGACGACGAAAGCATTCGAAGGGTTATCACTGTTCGTGGCAAAACAGGTGCGGTTGTCGCAATGTTTGGTGCACCAGGTGAGGGTGCTGCTGACCTGAGAAGGGGCTTAGAGAACAATTTGCCTACGGCAGCCTTGCATCAGATCCAGTATTTGGCCACAGATGCCCCAAGTGTGAAGCTGCTGGAGGAGCTCAAGGAAACACTGCCGAATCTTGAAGGCATATCTTTAGACCCTGTTCATCTGGCCATGCATTATGAGTCTGCCTCCGCACGCAAAAAGACAGCCGGTTCTGCCACACTCCGCAAATGCTTAGCCAAATTCGGCCATAGCAAATCTATGCCACCACCCGCAACTTGGGGTGCTTTCTTCACAGGTGCGGAAGATGGACAATTGTCGGCTCGCGAGCGAGTTCTGAGGGATCAGATTGTAGATGGGTCCATGGCCCAGACGAAGGCCCGAAAGATTTTGGAATCCTTGGACGCGGTGACTTATTGGCCAACCCGCACCTGTTTCATCGAAACTCTTGCGGCCATTTCTGCGGTCTATCGGGCAGAAGTCACAAAGAAGTCAGACGAAGGCAAGCCGTTGACTGATTTGCTATGGAACGCGACAAAGCCGGACCGCCTTGGATGGCTCTTCAAAAATTTGCGTGTCAGGTCCAGGCTTTCAAAAGCAGAGAACTTGCTTCTGCCAACTGGGACAACTTCCAATGAAAGCCTGCACGCAGAGATCAACAATTGGTTTCGTCAAACGCAGAGCCTCCACAAGAGCACGCTTTCGCTCAAGTTGAAAATTCTTGTTTTCTCGAAGCTGATTGCGCACAACACGTCTCTGTATTCACCTGGTGCCAGACAGATGTCGTCCAGTCATGTCTTAGCACGGCGCATAGGCACAGGCCTATGGACGATGGACGACTGGAAAGGGTGGGCCTGCAAAGGCAAAGCCAAAGCTAGCTTGCCCATAGAGCAGCAGCGAAGAGCTGAATCTCACAAAGTGAAAAAAATCATGGCCAAGCGCCCAGCCAGGAGATTACAAAAGCCTGCTGCCAAAGTGCATCGGACGCCATTCACGCTTTCACGTGCGCCTGGTGTTAGAAGGGCAGGTGTACATAAGCGGTGACATTGATGTGCTCGATTTGAAGTCAAAAGTTGCCTTGCATTGCGTCCTTTGGTTTTCGAATTGGCGCTGGGGTGGAGCCTTCTAGATTCAGGAGTACGAGTCGTGATCTAAAAGATGCAAGACAAGGCAAGTAAGAGCCAGACATGTCATCTGAACGAATTCATCAATATTCACGACTTAAAGGTGCATGATTCAAAAGGGATCACTCAGAGGCTAAGAGTGAGAGATGTGATATGACTTGAAGGAATCTCCCTTCATTTGGATTGACTTTGCTTCTGCAAACTTCCGAGTCTCTCGCTAGTCGTGAACTTTTCAGACTTGCAAATTGCATGCCATGACGGAAGAGTTGTGTATGGCTTGGCTTCTGCCTCGGCTCGGAGCAAAACAAAGGCATTTCGCCTCATTTGAAAGAATTGCCAGTCAGCCCGTCACAAGCACACCTATTAGCAAGTTACTGAGAAAAACAGCTTTGACCACAAAACAAGCAACAGGCTCGAAATTGGCTTCCTCATCTTCATGACACAGCCTTCCAAATTTCTAGCTTGCCATCTCATGTGTTGGACAAGGCCTGGCATGGTTTTCGGGCAGAGGGCGTACTTGACTCGATAAAGGTTCGTGGCAGTTGTTGCAGCTAGCTTAGTGCATCCAATGCGCGGGCCAACTTAGAGCACTATAGCGTCCGCTCGGCAAGAGGCACGTGCTGCGATGGACAAAAAATGATACAAATGCGTAGGCAGGCCAGAAAAGTCTCAAGCGGGCTCTCTTCACCAGCTGACTTGTTGGAACCCAATTCGTTCTCATTTGGGTCATTCAGTTCCGATCTTCAAGACAAGCAAGGGGCTTGAAAAAGCAAGATGATCGTGCATACGCAACCGTGCAAGCGATGCCAATATAGCTGGAACGCACGTTCTCCGCTGACGCGTACACACACACACAGACACACGCGCGCACACACACACACAAACACAATTACCTGCTACTTAAGACGCTTTGTAACTACAAACTCTTTGGTGAACCTCGGATCGAAGTTCCTTTCCTTCTAAATTACCCTGCGAACTGCAAACCGCATTATCCCAATTATTCCCTGCCACGCCCCCCCCCCCAAGCTAAAGCTTAATAGCTATTGCAATTGCTTACGGATAACGCGTGCCAACAAAAAACGCCTCGGCACCTTCGGTGCGGGCGGACTTCAGATATCAATCTCTCTTCTCTCGAGTAACCTTTGTTGTCTTTGTTGTTGTACATCCTGTTTGGAAGTGAAGAATGTCTTGGGTGCGGCCATACGGGAAGTCCTGAATTGTCCAAAGGGAAACATCCATAAGATTCACACAGGGCAATCACGTGGGGGGTGTCCAATCGCATAGATCACGCACAGCAGCGACGAAGATATCTTTTGACTACTCTTGATTCTTGATCACGGAATCTGGTCTGCATGGTGAAAGGAGTGTAAAAGATAGATTTATGATTTCTTGATTTGGCAGTACAACAGGGCCATCTTTGAGCTCCTGTTGCTCTCTTGGGTGATATCCTTAAATCATATCGAATGGGCACCAGATGGCACCATCTCGGGCAATTCATCGCTACCAAATCAGCCGTTCTACGATATTCTACGCCTTGAACTTCACATCAGCTTGTCCAATACCATCTCAGCAAATGATCTTCCCATCGGCTTGGATGGCTGCGAAATGCTGCGAAGCCTTCACTTGCACCTGAGATGATTTGCACATTATTGCACATTGCTCAACTCAGCCTTCAAGCCAACTTGTGTTGGCACCTACCGTTGCACCAAAGAGATCCAAAGAGATCAGAGATACCCCGTGAAAAAAGTTGGTGGAAAACCGACGTACATCGTCCACAGCTTGGACCGTGGCAAGGCACCATAGTTTCGGTCGCCCCAGCCGACAACCGTTCCATCGCCACGCAACGCCAATACCGTGCGGATGCGTTGGGATGGGTCATGCTGGTATCCAAAGGTTGTAGGATGTTGGTTAAACACTTGAAGTGTCAAAATTTAGTGGTTTGGCGACCGCCTGGTGGTACCAGGACGAACCAGGATGTACCACGCAACTCACAACGTGGCCATCTGAGAGTAGAGCTGCGAAACCCCGACCAGAAGGAAAAAGACCTCGATTGCAGGAAGGAAGGCCGGAATGGAACAATTTAAATCATTCTTGAACGAGGGGTTGAACAAAAGTTAGATATAGTTAGAGAAAGTTAGCTTTCAGACAAAATTTGACTAATTAATGCCTCAGCCAGGTGCGCTGGACATGTTGCAACTTCTCCTGGACCAAACTGCAATCTCCACCCTTGGAGGGATCGCCCCAGTCGTCCGCACTGTACCATTTGTCAAGATTGCAGGGAAGGGTTTAGATAGAGAGATCTCCTGCAGTTGGGGGTTGCTTCATATCCAGCATATGCAGCTCTGAGATTCTGAGGACTTAACTGACTTCACTAGGTCATCTCCCTACAGATCCTACCAGCCCAACACAGACATGAAATTAATTACAACCGGTGATTACCATGCTTGTCTTGGCACTATCATTGAACCATTCCGCCCATCTCCTGAACTTTCTGCAGGTTCTCCGACTTGCCTCCGTCATCTCCATCTCCATCGGCCCCCCATGTTGCAACCTTCCCATCAGCCCTCCGAGGGCTGCAAAGGCGTCAGTGGCACTGAGTTGTCCGTTCGCATTGCAGCACCTGTTTACACTATCCGCTTTCTTTGTATGCCTGGTCTCCTCATTATGTCATTGCGGAAACCCGGAAGCCATGGCAACTTCGAGAGCCAAGGCTTGAGGCACAATCCCCCTGCATCACCCCTGCAACAAATACCATAACCATCAGCTCCATCCTCCATCAACCGCGGCTATAGTAGTCTAAAATTCGAGCAACCAATCTGGCAACCGATCTGTTTTGGTGCCCATTTGCAGATTCAATTATTTTCATGTTGACAGACATTTATTTTTCTGGTGAAATCAGCATTTTCTAATGAATCCCATTTAAAAATTCTGGATGATTATACAAGGTCCGACCGCTGGTCCTCATAGTGCAAGTGAGGATGGCCAGGCTTGGGCAAGTAGAACTCAGGGTAGTCAGGATCGTGCGTGTCCCGCATCCACATCCAGTATGGATGCCACCTGGCACGGCTGGCACTGCCAAACATCTGAACATGTCGCATATGTATCACTTGTAGACAATAAATATATATATATATAATTGTAAATATATATACAAGAACATAAATACTTGACAAATGTATTGTGTAAATATGCATGTGCAAAAAATATATTAATGATATACTGTGTATGTACCATGAAAGGATGATAAAGGATGTACATATGAATGAATGAATGTATGAGTGTGTATGTATGTATGTATCTATCTATCTATCTATCTATGTATGTACGTACGTACGTACGTACGTATGTAGGTAGGTAGGTACGTAGGTACGTAGGTACGTAGTTATGTAGGAATGTGGGTCTGTAAGCATGTAGGTATGTAAGTGTGTAGGTATGTAGGTGTGTAGGTATGTTGGTATTATGTAGGTATCTATAATATTGTATAGGTACGTATATATAGGCATGTATGGGTATGTATGGATATGTATGGGTCTGTATTGGTATGTACGGGTATGGGTATGTATGGTTATGCATGGATATGCATTGGTATGTATTGGTATGTATTGGTATGTGGGTATGTGGGTGTGTGGGTATGTGGGTATGTAGGTAGGTCGGTAGGTACGTAGGTAGGTAGGTATGTAGGCATGTATCTACGTAAGTACGTACGTAGTTTGATGTCACGCAATGCAACCAAAGGTAACGTAAGGTAAAGTAATGCAACGAATCGAACCGTAATGCAATGTACGTAAACATATTATATCTTTATACAATGCGCCATGTAAGCAACATTCAGAGAAAATTCGGAAGTTTGACCCACTGCTCAAACGATTTCAAAAAGTGAATAAGGATTCCCAACTTGGGCACAACCTTCCCTATAAAATCCTTGGTGTTTTGTTCGGCCATCTGCTATTGCTAGCATTTCAGCAAGGGATTCTATAAATGGAAACCCATTAAATGGTGATAGGGCAAAATAATGGACGAGCATCAAACGTATATACGGGCTTTTCTCAACATTTTCAAACACACGCAGATTGTATCATGTTGTATACTAGTACCCTCTGGTAAACTCAGATAACTGATAACTATGGAAAATCACCACTTTAATAGGACAATCAACTATACATGGGCCATGTTCAGTAGCAAACTGTTAGTTTGCCAGGGGGTTAAGCTGATCAGTTGTGCCCAGCAAACAAACTACACTTCTTCACCAAGCAACGGCAGGTTGTATTGAGCCTCAGTTGCAGAGATTTGAAGTGACCTCCCAGGAGGGGTTTACCTGTTTCTGTTGCTTGATTTTGTTTACAGGATCCGACAGAATTATGGAAAAAAAAGGTTAAAATTGACAGGCGGCGTCTTTCTATCACCGGGAAAGTTCTAGACCTTTTTTTTTCCACAATTATTGTTTCCATAATTAATGTGTGTTTTTTTTCCATAATTCTGTCGGCTGGAACACGTCCATCGATTTGCAGTTCGAATGCATTTTAAGAAAGAATATTGAATTATGGAAAATATGCATCTGTCTAAAAATCAAATATACCGCATACCCAAAGCAATTTTCAGACCGATTTCAGCCTTGTGCCATTGGTTTCGAGCAATTGTCCAACCTATTTCAGCATGTATCCATTGGTTTTCAGCAGTTGTCCAACCTATTTCAGCACCTTTCCATAGTTGTTCAACAGATTTTCAAGTCTATGTCATTATTCTTGGCATTGATGATCATCATTTCATTATTGTTTCCATAATTCTGTCGGGTGCCATAAACGGATATATGTAGGTATATAAGTAAATCAAACAAACGAAACACATGGAAAAAACACAAAGCAAAATTCAAAATACATCCAAATACAACAAAAAATATCAATCAATTATATAAAATTCCAGTCCTTTGTATATCTGTCACAAGTTTGGAGTTTGGAGGCTAAAAACAGTAGGAATCACTGATGCCAAGGAGCAATCCATGTGCCACCACGCTCGGTACGACGACGGTCCAGGTAGCGTGTGACTGGGTTTGTGTTCTCCTGCGCGGTCGGGTGGCGCTACGAGAAAGCCATCCCTAGATACATAATGACTCAAGATTATCAATCACGATCATGAATTCACAGGATATTTGTCTCAGCATATCTCATACTAATATATGTATATATACATATGGATATATATATATATATATGTGGATATATATATATATGGATATATATA